GATCGGCACTCTTACATTTTGTTATACCCTGTAGTTTTGTTTATCTCGAGCTAATTTTCAACTAAGTGCCTTCTAACCTTACAAATTATTTTGGATGATCAAGTGAGGTTCTAGTTTATGCTATAAATCTTTATTTTTACTCTACACTGTTCATTAAAAAAAATATAAGTATAACTAGTATTAATTTATGATTTTAATTTGTGGTTCACCAGTGTTTACAATGTATAGAGTGATCTTAATAACTCTATTGTAAGGATGATATGATTAAAACTTATTTGCTATGAATTCCTAGCAGATGTTCATTTTCTCCCTATATCTGGTTTGGTGGGAATCAATATGGCAAGCAGAGTGGATAAGAAAGTTTGTAGTTGGTGGGATGGGCCATGTCTTTTTGAAGTCTTGGATTCTATTGAAATTCCATTAAGAGATCCTAAAGGGCCTATTAGGTACCATCTCAGCTTCTTGTCCCCCTTCATTGTTTTAGGGAAATAATCTTTTTGTTTACCATCCTCTTATTCCATAACTTATAAAACAATTTGTTTTACAGGATGCCAATTATTGATAAATACAAGGACATGGGAACTGTATTGATGGGAAAGATTGAGTCTGGAACCATACAAGAGGGTGATAGCTTATTGGTCATGCCAAATAAAGTATGCTCTATTTTTTTAAGTTGACATGATTAACCTCCCTTCCTTTTTGAACAACTTGTTGCATTATAAGATTTTATAGTCTTCATCGTTTGTTCTTCTGTGCAGGCCCATGTCAAAGTGCTTGCCATATTCTGTGATGAAAAAAAGACAAGACGGGCTGGGCCTGGTGAAAATGTCAGGGTGAAAGTGACTGGAGTAGAAGAAGAAGACATATTGTCTGGTTTTGTACTTTCAAGTGTCGGTATGTGTTGGATACTTTTGAAGCTATATTGTAATTTGTATTCTAATTTATCTATTTCCAGCTCAATTCTTTTTTAATTAAATGCCTATATGCTATTCATTAGAATGAAAAAAACATCTTTAGTATTAAGTGGCTAGTGGTAGTTTTTTTTGGCTTAGGCATTAGATACTGAAGGAAATATACGCATGGCACCCAGTTTTTCTTCTGTTTCTGATTCTATTGTTAGATATTTAATTTCTAACGATTATGATATATTTAACCATTACATTAGAATACCGTAACAACAACAGATCGCATAGGGATTGTTGATAGATTTAATTTTAATGCGGACTGTTTCCCTAATTTCTCAGCTAGTGGGTTGAATGCATTTGAAAATTGCAGTTTGACCATGGGGGACGGTTTAAAAGGTGCCAGAATTTAATGTAAAAATACAATGACATGTTTATTTAGAACAAGAGTGCAGCAGTTTTTTAAATAATGTAAAGATAGAAGTTCACCTTTTTAGTATATTGCTTGTTATTGTTAAAGCATTGGCCTTATGGAACCATGCTAATATATGTATGCATGATGAAGCCATCGGTTTTGAAACAATAATGTAACCTTACATAGATAAATAACTGAAATGAATGTATTTGTACTCCCCATTTGAATTTGTTCAAGATTGGATGGGGTCCACACACCGACACAAAATCTTGAAAAATATTAGGATAGTGTGACCACGGTTGATTGTGTGTGATATTACTAGAAATATTATAATAGATTTCCAAGGGTGATCCACTAGTTTCAGAGCACAAAACTTTCACTATATATATTATCCAGTGACAATAATATTAAGAGTGTAGAGGGGATATAAAGATTCAGAATCCGAAATGAGTTTGACTTGAGATGTACAGTGTTAAATGGGCATATAGTTCTACATTTTGATTATGTCTAACAGTGGCTGTTCACTTCATCTACCACAGCTATTTACCATTGGCCAATGGGTATGTAAACTTTTGTGTGCCTTTTGCTTCGTATTTCTTTTCCTAGGTAATATCTTCATCTGTGCTGTTATTTATACATATCAATATGTTGTTTTTGAAGATTATGCTGCAGCATAATATGTAATCTTCTTAAATTTTTTTTTTTTAACTTCTGAAAAGAGATATTTTAATTGAATTTTTGAGTAAGAAACAGCTTTGTAAGTCAATGTCGGAGTGCTCTCCCGGGCTGGGGGAATTGATGCAACTGCCCTTCTCATAGCTCAAAATTATCTCTCAAAGAGTATTATAAATCAGAAGATTTCAGAAATTGTTGAAAATAAAGATGAGGAAAAAATTAAAATTATAAGAATTAGTGTGCCAATATGATTTACAGTTTTATGCAGAGCTATCAAATGACTGAGATTCGTATTGCAATGGCTTTGCCAATGGCATTTGCAATGCACTGTCTTGGTTCCCTTGCATATTGCATTTGTGAATTGCATTTGTGAATTGCATTTAATGTATAAATACCTTTTTCTTGCAGTTAATCCGGTTAATGCAGTTTTTGAATTTAATGCTCAGCTGCAAATTCTAGAGCTTCTCGATAATGTGCGTAGTTTTTTACATTTGTAATTTTATCTTAATAGTTAGTGGAAAAATTTTGGCTGAGGATTTCTTCACCAAAATCTGGTCAGGATGGGCTTAAAATTCTTGTATGTGCTTTGAAAATTGTGCAATATGAGAGTTGATTGATTGTCCCTATATTGCACTTATTTCAAAGTAAATATTGGGGAATTTTTTTCAATATTAAGTAGCAATGCACACCAGGGAAATTAACTTATGATGCATGATGCCATCCCAGGCTATATTCACTGCTGGTTACAAAGCAATACTGCACATCCATTCCATTGTCGAGGAGTCGGAGATTGTCGAGCTTATAGAGGAAATTGATGTGAAGAAGAAGAAAGATGCGGATCCAAAGAAAAGAAAGCCCAAGAGGAAACCTCTCTTTGTTAAGAATGGTGCTGTTGTTGTTTGCAGAGTACAGGTTGTTCTTCAAACACAATTTAAGTCATGAACAAACTTTAGCTTCAATGATACTTAAGCATATTCAGCCTCCAGGTAAACAACTTGATATGCATTGAGAATTTCGCAGATTTTCCACAGCTTGGGCGGTTCACTCTTCGTACTGAAGGTAAAATGATTAATGAAGTTTTAAAAATATCATGGTATTAATTCAGGAGAAAGGTTGACACACAAGTTGAAGTTGTTATAGGTAAAACTATTGCGGTAGGGAAAGTTGTAGCCCTTCCAGCTCCCGGGAATTCGACATTTGCTTAAAGTTAACCTGGACGATCTCTTCCCGGTATTATATTTTATGATCTGGATCTTACTGTCTTTTTTCCATACCAAATTTCTTCTTATTCTGTTACTTTGATTTGTAGTATAAATAACTGACAACTTTCAACTATCCTTTGGAAGGTTGAAGAACAGTACTTGAATCAGCAAAAGGCTGCAACTTTCGGGATGTAATGTTCATGTTACTATCATTATTTATCATTTGGATTCTTTGTGCCTCCATGGTTAATATATGAGAAGCAAACTTGAACCAAGAGAGTCCTGATTTTCTTGCGAAGCGACAGTTGCATCTGTGTGAGTGCCTGGCCTCTTTTAAGCTATTCGTAGAGATTTCAGATACATCCATAATGCAGGTTTGGGAGTGGCATCGCCAGCAATATTTCTAGTATGTATGTAATTTTATTTATGATTTTTTAAGGCGAATTTTGGGATCGAAATCTCGAGTTAGTGCAAATGTATGAAGCTTTATGATACTTATGACAGTTTGAAACTTTGAGATGATAATTGGAAATGCATTTATATATAGTTTGGATTACTCGTTTATCTTCTAAAGTTCATGATTATGATTCTTATCCTGAGAACAGTTTTGTGTCGAGCTAAAAATGCATTTAAGTTGGCTGCAAAGAGGGAGGGATAGTAGAACAAGCTGCATTCTTTATGTAATAAACCAGTAAGTTTATTGGAAATATGAAGAGGACCCCTGGTCTTAAAAAGATATCAAGTAGTCTTTTTCTTTCATTTCATTGCAGTCGTCATGAAAATAATAGCGAGTTATTTATTATAAAAGAATTAGAACTTAGAATTTATGATAAATCAGAATGAATAGATTTGTCGGTTCAAAAGAGTTCATATGATTTTCTCATGAATTCCACAAAAGAATGTCAAAGAAAATAATGCCCTGCCATATCAGAAAAAAAAATTCTCTTTTTGATTAAGTACAAACCTTTATTATATATATATATATATATATATAAGATTTGAATTTTAGATTTTTTGATTGATAGTCAAAGCTTTTAATCAATATCAAGTCAAAGCTTTGTTATTTTTGATTTGTTGATTCCATTGTGCTTTTGGAGTTGAGGCTTCAAGGATGTAACTTTTATTTGTTAATCGAAGAATTCACGAATGAAGATGGGACACTAAGACGGAGACGAACGGAGTGATCAAAATGAAGTAACCGGTCGGGTAATAGCTAAATAGGAATATTAGGCTTTTGATATTTTCTTAATGTCTCCTAGAACGTTTGATTTAAAATCAAAGGCTCAGATTTCTCCTGATTGGAACCACATTGTTTTTGTTTAGGGTTTAGGTTCGCCAGTTCAGTGGCCGTCCAACCGTCGGTCCAAGCGGTTTTGGGGCGGTTTTCTTTGATACAGTTCTAGGAGGGAACCAAATCGGCCATCCAACTGGTTCACGATTCAACCTACTGGTTGAATTGATCAGTCCAATTTGATTTTTAAATCCTTGGTTTATATATCAATTGATTGTACCTCAAATCATTTGATATATAATATTATACTTTTTACTCTTTTTTGAGTTATGGAGCACATTTGGTACATAATGACTTATTGATTACATTGGAAAAAGGAAGTTATGGAGTACATTTTGCATGACATAATTCCTATACAATAAAGGAAAAAAAAATTACACCAACTATACTCCAGTTGGCTCTATAATCATGTCAAAAATTAGGTCTAGTAATTCATAAACAGATAGGTTTTGTCAGGTAAAAATCCAAAGCAATGACAAACCTTCTTGATTACATTGGAAAAAGGAAGAACTATGTAATTTCACAATACTCCACGTATAAACCAGAATGAATGTATTAAGATGGAAATGGAAGCATTGTTGAAAACAAAGCCAGTCATTAATAGAATCAAAAGGAGAATTCTTACTTCACCAACCATCCCATGTAAAGCTGATTTCGTGTTCCCAATGACCAGAAGAGAAGAAAAGCTTCAGAAACAATATTAAAGAAGTTAAAAATTGACTCTCCATTCAGATTGTGAGGGAAGCGCCATTATCTTCTGATGTCAGGTTAAGTATCATTGTAGCTGCTCTTGGAGCCCTGAAAAAACAAGAATAAAAAAGAAGTTGAAACCAAACCTAACAACTACTAGAAGCTAGAAGTTGGGACAGCAAGATACATGGATTTGAAATAGGACTCGTTCAGCAAATCAAAACAAAATGAGTATTGAATCTTGGATGGATTCAAATCATTCATTTACCACTCTCTTACAAAAAGACGAGTGGACTCAGTTTATGCTCCATAATAATATTAATATATCATTCAGTTATCACCCTAGAGAAAGAATGCTCCACTACTACTATTATTTCAACTACAGTGGTCGCTAAAAACCATCAATTGTTTATCATAGATTTATATCATGCAAAGTCTAGAGAGTCAAATTCAGAGTAGATTTTGGCTTAATCAGGAATATTTGATTGAATGACAAGGTTGTGGCTAGGATGAGTGTTATACTCATAAACTGTGCTACAATACCTTCATTCCAAGGAGATAATGCTCCACTAAATTTTCTTTATCATGATATACCTTTTTTTTTTCCAGAAAATAATCAGCAGATTAAACAGGTAAAATAAATATAGAATAAATGAGTAAAACCTTCAAGTTATAGCTAGTTAATATAAACAAATCATTTTAGAAACTTTATCTTCACTTTTGATCTTAGGGGAGAGAACCATCATTAATTTTACAGATCTAATGTTATTAGAGAAAACGACTTGCAATATATAGGGTAAATATCCATGATGGATATTATTGAGATAATTTCTACCTATTTAGCCTAACAAGATAAATTCAATCAAATGGTTGTCAAAAATTTTAGTTGACTGCAAACTAACAAAGAAAATCTGAGGGCTTCTAATTTAGCAGCCATGGAAAAAATATATATATCAATAGAGGTCACCGTAGAAATTAAGCATATATCTACATAGGTTGTGCAACATAATATACACAAGTGAACTGAATTAACGAATTAAATTTCAAAATAATCCCCCAACTATTCATCTGTAGCCATTTTAGCCCCAGATTATAACGTTGGTCCAATTTTATCCCTTGACTATACAAAATTGATCCAAAATGGTCCCTTTGGGACTAAATTGTGATCAATTTTGTAAAGTTGAGGGACTAAATTGGGATCAATTTTATATCACAATTACAACATGATGGACTATTTTGGATCAATTTTGTATAATCGAGGGACTAAATTGTGACAACATGATACTGTGGGACTAAATTGGCTAACACGAACAGTATGGGAACAGTTTTCAGATTTTTCAATGGGACTTTGTTAAAAAAATTCAATTTTTTAAGTACACAAAATGCTAAGATAATAATGAATAATACCAGGATTCAGGCGACTGATAAAGGGCAGAATTACTTCCAAAACATGAGGCAAGCATGTCTGTATTTACAACCCCAGGGTTCAGCGCAACAATTGCTAAACCGGGAGGTAATTCCTTGGCCACAGACTTTGACAGGCCTTCTATTGCCCATTTTGAAGCACAGTAGGGAGCCACCTATAAGGACCAAGTTCAATTTACAGCTTAAACAAAATGATAACGAACACCATTCAAGAAAGTCATTACCTCTGCAGCAGCAGATCTTCCCCAGCCGGAGGATATGTTTACGACAATTCCTTGCTTCTTTTCTATTAGAAGTGGCAAGAAGTGACGAAGTATATTGGCTGTTCCTTTTATATTGGTATCTATCACCATATCAAATTCTTCAGCTGGCACAGCCCATATTTTATTGTTTTTATTGATCGTCCCCGCGTTGTTTACTGCAGCAAACCTCAAAGTCATAAGGACATGAGCAAAATAACGAGTAGATGATAGATCAAGGTAAGATCTCATTGAATAAAAAACTTTTTTCCACATGGATAAATGTGAAATGTGCATCCACAAAACTGTAAGTCTGTGATCCTAAAAATAGCGAGGAGTTGTTATCCTGCATCATCAATTATGCTTGGATTAAATCAAAGTAGATCCATATCAAACTGAAATGTGCTTGCATGTAAAATGGATAACATGTAAGCATATATATGTACCTCTATGCTTATATTTATGGACAACAATGTAAATATATGAATCCATAGATGCATGTCATCATCATCATCACAAGCATATATTCAAGTGTACATATATACAAATATATTCACATATGCATCGATATATGCATGTAGCCACACTTCTGCGGATGCATTCTTGTATGGGGAATTAAGAATCAAACTAGAAGGTAAAAATGGATTCAAAATTAAATCATTTATTTGCTCTAATCAAGCATGAATATAAAGGAACTAGCCAGGCAAACCCGAATCAAGAATAGTAGAATTATCCTATAGCTAGGGCACGCTTGGATTAATATGACATTGGATTCATTTGAGCCAATCATGAGCAAGGTTAAGATCAACTAGAGATCAGATTATTGATAGTCCTAAATAATTAGTATAGTAGTATCTTATCATATAGCATGTAAAATTTCCTCGTATGCACCTAAATGTTAAGCAACCATCAAGTTTGAATGCTAGATCACACTCATTGAACATATTAGAAACACAAACTCATTTTTGAATGTTTTGCCACAATTAAGAAATTCATTAGGACAAAGTAAAAGAAAAATTTGCACTGCAATTCATTATTTGGGAAGTACGGTTTACTTTTTCAATCAAACAATAAGAACAAGATTAATAGTATCATTCATTTTTTCTATCCAATATTAGAAGTAACAGCGTCTTTGACCTTGGTTGATGAGTATGAATAAAAAGAAATCAAAGCATATGAATTGTGAACTGAAATAATCAAGTACATACACAATTTGACAAACCTATAATATCTGGTATCTTTCTTTCTTCGACGAGAAGCCTAGCGAACTCCTTCATGCTGTTGTCAGATCTCTACAACACATGAGAAAAGGCATTCTTTAATTTAAAGTTAGCAAAATGGCATGACTAACCACAATAGATAGATAATGGGTAAGATATTGATTTTGGTTTATAAAATTAGGCGTTTACATACATTCTCAATTGATGCATGAAGCACCAACACAGCTACATGGTCCACTACTTCTCGAACACGACATCACATGCTAAGACACTTTAACACCCAAGGAAGTTTGATTAAATAATATGCAAGCTTAATTTTGGATCTAATCCTCCAAGATTAACTAATTTATAGGATTACAAACCTTCCATTTCAAATAAATCAAGCTTTATAATTTAACTTATCCCATTAATATTACACACATAACAGGCACCTAACTACATTCTAATTGGGTATATAGCATACCAAACAAAGTTTTTATGAGGGATTAAAAACTAATGGCAACATGCATAAAAATGTATATATAATAATAATAACACAATATAAGGTAGGAACAAGGAAGGAGAAGGGCCTCATTTGGACTTTCTTCAAATGAGCCATAGGATCGTGCACCAATTGGATCATACAGATCTATTTATTCATATTCGACTTAGATGCAATCAGTTGGAGAAACCAAAAAGAACTTGGCATGAGAATAGAACATTTATTTTGGTTTAGACATCCTAATGGTAGAAGTTTGATAGGATGCTGATATTGCAAGGCTCCAGCTCATCAAGATTAGACATCCAAGAACACCTTGTACAAACACATCATTTTCACCGATCTCAACTCGTCTAGCTCCAATCACCATTGTTGAATTTGCCTAATAACTTTGTCATAATCTACAAACAAGATTTGCATCTTCGAGATTCATGCCTTCCTAATTGTACTTTCCACCATGACTCTACGCACCTCCAAGAAAATCATTCAGCGCCATCTCCATCTCTGAGTTCACCTGACACAAATCCGTTGGCAACATCTACAGATCGTATCCATAGTTTCAGCAGCATTTCACAATTATTCTACATCAACCTCTTCATTTTCTAAACAATGCCAAACCTACCTCCAACTGCAATCATCAACCCGTTCAATTGCAAAAAGTAGCATTATTTAACTTCCATCTTGCTCATTCAAATGGATGCCAAGTCAGCCAAGTATCAACGACCACACCACTGATTCATTGATTCCAAATACCAACGAGCATAGAATTGTTGGCAACCCTTCCACGAGTGAACTCAATCTCATCTCAAGAATCTCACTAGATTGTCAGATATAGATTTGCCTACAAAATTGATCTACAATCCATCCAAGATCTTCCAAAATTTCTTCAATTTCTGCCACTACCATTGATATTGACTTCTCTATTACGAGAACTTCCCTAGATCTCCACCTCATCTCAAGCCTTCTCTATCATGCAAGATTCCAATCAGATTCCATGGATTTTGTTAAAGCAAATCTAGTGGTTAACAATTGCTAGAATCTACAGTTGCACTTGTATGATATGATTTGGTGCACTTAGGCTTTATTTGGGATGACTTTATTTTTTATACTAAAAAGCTGTTTTAAGAAGCAGTATGAAAGATGTCCCAAACGGAGCCTAGTCATATTGTCAACTTCATGAAACACATTAGTGCATATATTTAGCCAAGAATAGTCACTATTTTCCTATTTTATGAATCTCCACAGCCTCAACAACAGCCCAACTAATCATGAATATAAATCATTGAAAATACAATCTATTCAAATGCAATACTATTCATGAAAAAAAATTATGCAAAGCTTACCAAAAAAACATAGTTGACTACATAAGCCAATTTAATATCAACAAGCAACAAATAACATCTATCACAAAAAATCTTGAATTATATTTCACGGCGTGGGAGCATAAGGCAATGTGCAATTCATGCACCTTAGTTAATTCAAAATTGTTAATAGCGATATTTATTGAGAAAAATCATAAGAATGACTTGTCAAATTTAATCAGTTTTTACATATCAAAAGCTATCTGATATGCAGCATTTTACAATTGTTGCAATATTGATAGATGGTCCAACATTGTATTACTACCACTTGATGTTTTCAAATAAGTAATTGAGTTCTTGAAATTCTTTTAAACAAACCATCATACCAAAATTTGGCTCTCCTCCAGGGATCATCAAACCTAATCCTATAGATTAGCCTATAAAACATGTGGATCACAGCATTGCAACTCCATTTCCTAAGAAATTGGTAGAGGATGCGATTGAACAAACAATAATGATGTTAAAATAAATGCACAAGATTGATTAAATAAAATTTTGCTCAGACGACTAGCCATCATATTATGGGCAACAATAGATAGTCTTGAAGAGCTCCTCAAGCACTTGGATATGGTTGTTTTCTTTTACAACTTCGTTCTTGTTCTAATGGGCAAGAAAGATTCACTTGAGAGATTATAGTTGAATAGATTGCTGCCTCCATTGGATAGACTTGGAAATTAAAACTTGAGGGCAAGTTCATTGTTAGAGGAGAAGCAATAATGTGAACCCACTTATATTAATTTAGTAGTTGATGATGGATTTAATTAACAGCGTAATAAACTAAAGATGGTCATTGTACTCTATAAATATCGTCATTTGGGGAGGATCAAGTATGAAGAGTTAAAGAAATTAATATACTTATCCCCTTCTATATATGTTTATCTTTTCTCTGGAAATTTGAACAAACTAAGGCTGTGTATCTGACTTCAACCAAAGTTGTTGTTATTAAATTAAAAAATACTAAATTGTTTTAAAAAAACGACTTGGGCCATCGATATTGAGGACAAAGGAACAAATTGAATTGGAGAATGAATATAGGGATGGAGCACTGACCACGTCAAGATGTTTGAGAAGATGCTTGGAGGATGATGACGAAGAAGAAGAAGGGGGATCATCCCGTGTTAAATCCGCCATTAGGGCATGAAGCTTCTCCTGAGAGCGAGCACAGCCAACCACGCTGTGGCCACGGCGAGCTATCTCCAGTGCCAGCACCCGCCCTAATCCTCGACTCACCCCTGTAATCATTATTGTCTTCAGCTGCGTTTCTCCCATCACCTTCTTCCTCCCACAACTCACTACCTCCTGCTTCCTCAAACAGACTCGTTCTCGTGCTCGTAAAGAACCGCCTCAAGGTCATAAGACTGCGTTTCAGTTATTATACTATTCACCTGTGAAGCGATAAGATGCACGGTCTCATCTTCATAATTAAGAAATCAGAATTTATTATTTTTATGTATACTTTAATATGTTTATAATATTTAAATAATTTATATTATATTTATTTTAAATAAATACAATTTATTTAATTTATCTTAATAAAAAATTTAATCAAGATAGAAATATTCTATAGTATAGATATATACTATAATAAAAAAAATTATGAACATAATTGCAATTTAGTATTTAAATATTTAATAAATTAAACAATATTTTGCTCAAAGAAAAAAATGAATTCCATATTTATACACGCGTCAAAATTTAAGATCGAGTTGGTCGAATTAACAAAATTTAAACTTTTTTTTAAATTTTTTTGATTTTGGGAAGGGTGATGATAATGCGGAAACGCTTCGTGCCGTACCGTTGACGAAAGGTATCATTTGCCGACACGGAACAGACGAAAAGCATCCCGATATCAGACACGTGTACAAAATTTTGTAATATCAGTCTAGATGGACGGCAGTGATATAGAAGCCGTAACGTTCGATGACGGAATCCACAAAGATAATAGATCTCGATAAGATGCTTGGCGGCTGTTATACTTCTAGGGTTCTTTACCTACGATCGGGAGCTCGCTGGCTTGGTAGTTTTGGTTTCGATTGACGGGAATTTCGGATCATGGCGCGGAATACAGCATGCACGATTTTTATAGGTTTGGATGCGAATACATTATGTCGTTTTTAGGTGGATTTATTTGTTTTATGTGATTCTCTGTCTTCTGCAGCCAAGTAAGCTTGGTTTTGATTGAGGCTTAATGACGATTCTTTTCTTTTTTGGATTTGTGCGCTGTTTTTGAGATTTGTTGCTAGACGATTGCTTTATTACGTTAGGGAGACATGGAGGAGATGCTATTTTGGTTTTGAAACTATTGGGGTTGTGCTTTGGTAATGCTTATTTGATGTTGCACCTGAATAATTTTATCCATGGCTTAGATTGTTCTTTTCGTATGTTCTTCTTGGGTTGCCGAAATCCTATTGAGGGATTTACATACATAGCAGTCAAAACGATATCATTTTAATATTTAACAGACAAATTCTACTTATTACCTTATAGAACTCACTCAACTTAAGTTTATCCTCACGAAACCCATGCCGGATGTTAGCTGATGCTGAAGAAACGAGGAAGTCAAGACTTAATCTCGCTGGGATGAACAATGATGGGACTGGCGGTGTGAGGACAACAAATAAAAGAACTAGTTGTGGCAAAATCTAGCCAGATGGCGAGTGAAAGAGGAAGAAGGGAAGGAGATTCACGGACCGATGGCGATGGGACCATCGGATCTGCAAGGAAGTCGCTATAGAGATTCATGGATAGAGAGGTCGATGGCGGGTGAAGAAGAATGAGAGTCTGGCAACTTGTAAAGGGAGATAGGATCAGCCAATGTTGGCATGATTAAAGTGGAGGGTGTTATTTTTGTTTTATTTAAAGTTTTGATTGTGATGCCTTTGAATAGTGAAGTTTAGGTGTTTAATATGTAGTTAATATAGTTTTGATAGCCCCTCAATCATGTTGTGTTGGAATCTTTAATGTTTTCCTTTTTAGATATTTCTTCCTATTCCTTTTATTTTGGATATGTATTGAATTGGCAATTCTATTATAGGTTTACTGGTTTACTTTAACTTTACTGGGGTGGATGGGCTGTGGAGAAGAATAAAAGTTAAACTGAAGCATTAAAGAAGACTGGTGGTGCTATAAAATCACTTGTTCCCTAGCTTAAGTACTGTAAATGTGTTTTGTGGTGTTGCATGTGCCTACAAATCAAAAGTGATTGATAGCACCCTTGGGCTATATTTGGGGGTGTGGAGCGGCCCATTCGGCCACCACACCCCTTTCTTCCTGATCGTTCAACGAAGTATTCCTAAATGAAATGATTAGACTACCATATATTTAGAATTATTACGACAACAACAACATCAAGCCTTTATCCCACTACGTGGGGTCGGCTACATGAATCCTTTTTCTCCATTGTGTCATATTAAAAGTCAAATTCTCATTTAAATCTAATAAAGAAAGGTCATTCCTAATAAATTTCCTTAGCCTTATTAAATAATATTTTTTGTTTTATTGTGTCAAGGGAGTAATCCTAAATGCAATGATTAGATTACCTCCTATTTAGAATTATGAAATGATATATTTTTGCTTTCACAATATTTTTGATTTTTCTTTAGTAGTCAAGCATATGAACTTGCCTTTGAAGTCCAAACTTTTTATTTTGAGTTGAGTCAAGTTCGTCTCTGGTTAAAGTGATTTTTTTTTAGTCAACTTTCAAGTTGATTGAAGTCATGCCCCTTAACTTGGAGCAAATATTGATGGAGATCTGCAAGTTTATGTTTGAAAGGTGTGATGCTTGGATTTTATGCATTTGATAAAGAATCAGACAAGGAAAAAAATGAGTTTTATGTAATTATCAATTACCCCTTCATGCTCAAGGACATCATGCTAGTGTTTGCTAACGAGCAAGTGAAAAGGTGTGACGATAGGTTTTGTTTATTGCTTTGGAGTGTTTCAACGCAATATTATTGAACTACAATAGGTTTTGCATGGCTTTATGGTACCTTTTGTTTTCAATAATACCAATTCTAAATTGAAATTTGAAACAAGTCAATAAGAGGCTTTTTTGTTATGATTTTACATTATGGGCTTTTGCTAATACATTGGATTGTTTAAGCCCAATAATATTATTCGACAACTATAGGTTTTGCTTGGCTTGATGGTACCTTAAGTTTTCATTAATGTCAATTCAAATTTGTAATTTGAAATAAGTCAATGAGAGGGAGTTGATTAGATGACATATGCTTATAAATAGATATTATGCTGCATATAATTGAATATCTTTAATTGACTAAAAAAATCTAATTTGTGTGAGATTCCTTTTAGTATGTAGAGGTGTGACGATTTAATTGCAAATGAAGTCATCTACTTGTATTGAGAGGGGGCTTGTATTTTTAACTTTTTTTTTTAATTTTTTGATAATCTAATTCCTTCCATACAAGTTTTATGAGTTTGCTAGTGATTCTAATTTTGTTCAAATATGATAGAAATGAGATTGTAATTGTGATGAATAAATTATAGTCGCTCACTGAATTTGTGTTTGAATTTATCATCGATTTCTTCAAAATTTTATAATTGCTTTTTGGTTTGCACTGTGATTTTTATATTTATAGCTTTACATTTGATGAAAGCAATTCTTTTTTAGAACTTGCATTTCTTGATGTGCGAATTCTATTTTTTCATGTTTCATCATCATCATCTTTGTTTCATTTGGAAGTCCCGACCTTTAAACTATTGTGTATCCAATTGGTATCAAAATATTTGGTTGCATTATTATGTTATCTAATTGTAGGACATTTTAATTGGGTTAATACAACAACAACATCAAGCCCACTACGTAGGGTCGGCTACATTAATCCTTTTTCTCCATTGTGTTATGTTAAAAGTCAAATTCTCGTTTAAATCTAATAAAGAAAGATCATTTCTAATATTTTCTAGCCAAGTCTTTTTAGGTCTACCCGACTTTTCTTAACATAAGTCAAATTTAATACCTCTACTTTTCTAACCGAGTCATCGAAAAGCCGTCGTTTTATGTGACCAAACCATCTAAGGCGACTCTCTCTAATCTTATCTTCCACTAGAGCTACTTCAACCTTATCACTTATATGTTCATTTTGTATCCTATCTCTAAGGGTAATGCCACTCATCCACCTAAGCATCCTCATCTCTAAAACGCTTAACTTAGTATTATGATCCTCTTTTAATGGCCAACATTCAACATCATAAAGCATTGCAGGTCTCACCACCATCTTATAGAATTTTCCCTTAAATTTGTGGGGGACTTTTCTATCACACAACAAGCTCGATGCATTCCTCCACTTCAACCATCCAATTTGTATTTTGTTGATAATATCCCAATCTATTTCACCATCACTTTGAATAATAAATCCAAGATATCTAAAAAGTGTACTCTTATTAATGACTTGATCATCCAAAGTCACAATCCCCTCACTAGGTCTATTACTACTAAAATTACACTCCATATATTCAGTCTTTAGATATACTCAAGTGAAAACCTTTAGACTCTAAGGTTGACTTCCATAATTCAAGTTTACCTTCAACTCCTCTAGTCTTTTCAACAAGAAGAAAATCATCAACAAAAAGCATACACCAAGGTACATCCTAATGTCTAGTGAGAAAACAATAAATTGTACAGTTCAAATATTATATGGTATCTAGGTTTTTTGTGATAAACACAATATAATTTTTTGTACGGTTTGAAATTACATTCATATTTTTGATGGAGGTCCAATCTTGGAAAATTTTTAAGTTGAATCGCTAATTTGAAAGATCTCATTGAAATTCTATATGATTCCCAACGAGTTTAATTTGTCAAATTCAAACTAGTGGGACATGCTCAATTTGATTGGAGAAGTGTGACTAAGTTATGAAATATAAATTTAAAAAACAATATATGTTATTTACTAAAAATATATATAATATTTTTTATTCCCAAAGAGTTTTAGTGTGTTAAATTAAAACAAATGGGACATGCTTAAATATTTTGGAGAAGTGCTCCTATTAAGTTGTCATGGGTAGGTGTATAAACAAGCGGAGCATGAGCAAAGCTTGTTTATGTGTTTATGTTTAGCTTGTTCAAATTTTTGTTTATTTAAAATCAAGTTATGTTTTCAAAATTATTCATGAACATTTTGTTCATGTTTTAAGTGGTCAGAATTTGAGTAGAACATGAGCTAATTTTAAATTTTTAAAAATAAATAATGAGTAATTTGACACACACATATATGTATGTATGTATGTATATATGGTTTATTAAAAAAAGGTCATAGTAACTATTAAATTTATGCTTGCTTAATGAATGAATCAAATATGTACTTCTTAGGGTGCGTTTGGGACGGCTGCAGCTGTCCGTAAAGCAGGTTGTAAAGTTGGTGTACAGAAAGCTGTTTTTTGAAGTTACTGTACATAAATCATTATATTTTGTTTGGATAATATAACTGTCAAACTGTTGTGCTGTACCTATATACAAACAAATTACCATACTACCCTTATATATTAAGATGAAAAAATTTTGTATAAATGTAATATTTTTTTCTTTTCATGCACATAACACAAACTTATAATTTTAAATTAAAATTTTATCCACTTTATCGAAGTATTTTATGACTTTTAAATATGAAAGTTCTCTAATTTTATTTTGACAATGTTATATCATACTTTGAAGTTATTTGATTTTTTTTTTTCATATCTGATATTGCCTGAAAAAATAAATTTTGTAATTATAATAATAATATAACCCTGATATTGCCTGAAATTTCTGTTCATGCACATAACACAAGCATTATGAAGATCATAAGTTATCCACTTCACTCAAACCTTAACAAGAGAACTAGTCCTACTCTGGCTAACACAGCTATGCTCCTCAAAGTGTTCATCTGTGTCTTTCCATGATGAGGTTTCCAGGATTAGCTCTGCAGTTGAACCTGAGACCATCATGATGGAGATTTACACCATGCTCCACCATCGGAGCAGATTTCTGAATCTTCCCTGACCTGTTAATCTCCTGCATCTGACCTGAGAAGACTAGAATTCAATTTGAGATGTTGGAAGACAACAATTGGGCTAAAAAGCTGTTGGCTTTCATTGGCTGATATGTTCTCCAACTCCATAGCTTCGATTACAAAGAGAGGAATCCCGGAGTTGCTTGACATCGTGCCTCTGCCACTGAATCCTCTGATCGAACACCTTGCGGGTATGTTCGTTAGCAGGCGTGGGAGGGAATTTCTCGGCGGAAAGCTCGAGCTTTGTAAGGGTTTCGAGCTCGGAGTAGAGACCGACAGTGGAGGAAGCGAACTGCTCCATCTTGCGAACTGTGCCATCCATGTCGCGAGGAGAAAGCCGAGAGCCGAGGGGTCAATTCGACCGGCGATTAAGTCGGAGTACACATTTTTGAAGCCTTGGAGAGCGGGTAGAGAGCAACGACGACCTAGGCGGGAAGCAAAGCGGCGAAGATGAGGAAGATCGGAATAATTGAGCACTCTTGCGCGAACGGGGCATTTGCGACATTTTTCCCCTTCGAAACTGCGGAAAGCAGCAGACCGCGGGAGGCAGTGAAAGGTCGTGGGAAGCAGGATTGGCCGCAGAAATTTTTCCAACGTACGTCTGCCGTAATGCCCCAAACATCCGTTTAACAATTTACTATAAAGCGCAGCAACAATAAAGCCGTCCCAAAAGCACCCTTAGTGAGTATAACACAAGCTAATCGTGAATGATGAGCTTTGGGGTGTCAATAAATGACTCGGCCTGAACCCAGCCCAAAAAATTTGGTCTGGTTGACCTGCCTAATAAATGGGTAGAGTTAAGGTTGCATTTTTTGACCTGTTTATTAAACTCGTCTGGTTTGGGTTAATCCACAAACCCGCTTTGACCCGAAAATACCCATTTAATATATTTTTTTCCTTAAATTTTTTTACTTGTGTGTATAATCATTTTATTTTTTATCAAATATTCTAAACTTATAGTTAGTAAATCATAAGGGTTTTTTATTTTGAACCAAATCAATTGGCGAGTGAGTTGATTCTGTTGCAGTTAACTCAAAAATTTGAGTGAGTTTCAGTTTTAACTAAATATTGTAGCCCCCTATGAAGGGTTTACATGTTGGATGAATATTGTCACCCCTTTCAATATCAGTGATTATAACTACTATATCAAGTCAAGAAAAATATACATATTTAGAGTTGAGGCATTGTCTTTCTTTTGTACTTGCAACTTCTTTTCTTTTTTTACCTGTGGGGATGGTGAGTACTGAAAGTTAGGGCACTCGAATTTGGTGGGGGAGGGAGAGACTCTTTTTGCATTATATTTCTCCTTTGCACTGTACTTTGGCTTCAGCATGCTTGAGTTCCTGTTTTCTTTATCAATTATTTAGCGTGATGATACTTTCTTTTAATCCTCAGCCCATTTGGTCCTCAAGCAAGGCCTGTTTTTGATGGAAAAGCCTTAGCATTTTTTAAGTGGTCGTTATTCATTTTGAGTTGTTTTCCTCTCGTCAAAAATGGGTACCTTAGGCAAGCCCCATTGTTAGCTTATTTTATATGCTGAACTTTCTTTTTTTCTCTCTTTTGTTTGTTTGTTTGGCATGAAATGCAATTTTGGCTAAATAATGTTAAGATTATTATGTCTTTTGTTTGTTTGGTTGGCATGAAATGCAATTTTGGCTAAATAATGTTAAGATTATTATGTATTTTTACGCTGTTAGTAGCAGATTGCTTTGATATTTTTTCCCTTGAAATTTGGAATCTTCATTTTCAAGTAAATAAGGAAGTTTTCAACCTATTATTTGCTCTTTTTCATCTTCTACCAGGCTTTTTGCCCATTTTTTAGTTTTATAGTAGTTATTCTTATCTATAATTTTATAAATTATGTGATATTATGACCACTACATTGGGTTCTTCTTTTTTTTTTTTTTTTTTCTATACATATTATTGGTCCAGTAGTTGGTTTCATTGACTTATTATTTTAAACTTAGTGAAAACCTTTTTCTTTTTGTGGACAGTATTAATTGTGAATGCAAGTTCTTGTATTTTATGCAGTTTGAATGATTTTTTTTTTTAAAATGGTAGTAGTCTTTTATTTTTGTGTTGGAGTTGGCGGAGAATGTATCATTATGCAGTGAACCTTAATGGTTATGAACATAATAGAAGTTATATCGTTCAACATACCTTGGCATCTTAAATGCTGATGGTTGGGTGGAATAGGTTAATAGGATTTTTGCATTTGCTCTGGGAACAGCCATTTATCCTATGTTCTCTTATAGTTGTTGCTTTCCTCATGTAATATTTTTCTTCAGTTAGATGCTTAGACGTTTCTTTTTTGTAAAATTGTTATTTTAATCTTTGACTCTAAATTTATCTTCATGGTGTATGCCCAATGGTCTAGTGTTAGCTCCGCTGCTTCATTGATATGGTGATAGAGATCCTTTCCCAAAGCCATGATAATTGCACTTGTCACTTGAACCAATCCCAACCGTATACTTCAATTTGGATGGTTGGGATCAAAATTGCTTTATTTTCAAAATTGCTCTTTAAACGAAATTGGATGGATGGTTGGCCTTGTACTTATTGCGATGGTGTGATATAATTGGAGAGAACCCGTATCCTTATTATGGTATATGGTTTTATTTTCGTTTAACTAGATGGTTTTTTTACATCTAATATAAGCTATTTATTAGTTGTAATGTGCATGCCACTTGCTTCAAGGGCTGCTTTGCATTTAGTGTGCTCTTTTGCTTGTTTTCAAGTTTATTGCTTTTAAGTTCAAATTTGAAACTTGTAGGACGTTTTAAGTAGGTTCCTCCTTTATGCTTCTGCTTCATTGTATTTATTGTTTTCATTCTCGATAGGTAACTTGGATGAAAAGGTGACTGAAAGGGTCTTATATGAAATCCTTATTCAAGCTGGTTATCTAGTTGACCTACATTTACCGCGGGATAAAGAATCTAATAATCACAAGGGCTATGCTTTTGCTGAATATGAAACAGAGGAGGTTGCAAACTATGCCGTTAAGCTTTTCTCTGGTCTTGTTCGACTATATAACAAAACTCTTAGATTTGCGGTGCGTTTTTTGTTATCTTAGTTCAACACGTTATGTCATCCTTTAAAAATTGAAACAGTCAATCATTCTCTTTGATTCATCTGGTCCAGGCAGGATTTCTAAAGCCAATTTTAATTTGTTAGTTGATTACATCGGCCAGTCTTGTTTATCACTAATAATGAAATACTGGGAAACTGTCCCTTTTTTATTATAGAAATTTAAATTGATGTTGTTTTGTTTGGATTGACTTTAATTTGTTGTTATTCATCCCTTGGTGCTATTTCATTCCCTCAAATTAATGTTATCCGAGATTCGCCTTAATATCCTTGATTATTGTGGGCATTTGCACTGTACAATTCAATCTTCTGAGAGAATGCAGCATACTTGATTAATATTTTTTCCTTCATATATCGCTTTCATGATAATTTCAGTTTTTAGAGAAACCAAAAATGGAAGAATGAGCAGGCTAATTCTGTTCCTTGTTTGTTTGTCACTGCTTTTTTTTTTTGCTTAATATTTTGGAAAATATAATTGGCCTATGTAGGAAATGTTTGTTTAAAGTTGTTTCATTGTGCACAATGCACATGCACTTCGCCATAATTTATTGAGCATATGAAGTGACAGGGACTTACGATAGAAAAAAAAATCCATAGGCTTGCAAATTTGCAATTAAGAACAATATTTTATTCTAGTTTACACATTGCAAATATGACCACTAATCCTAGCATACCTGACAATATTTTTTTTAATTCATGACATCTATGCGTGGGATTCTTAAGCTATCGTATTACTGCTGGTGGTTGTCATACAATCGTAGTCGTAGTATTAGGGTTGAATAACAAACTCAAACTCTAATAGTAATTAGTTTAAGAAATCAAGATTTTAGTTCTGTTTTTTTGGTAAGAGCATAATAATTTTAGTTCATAAAATAGAATAAAAGAATATCTTAAGAAGTGTACCCAATGAAGCCCTCATTCTAACAAATGTGTTCTTATATACGCTCCACAACTTTCAATATCTTTTTGAGAAAATGATCAAAATGGTCCCTTGATTTTGTTTGAAGGAACAAAATAATCTCTGACTGTATTAAATGATCATTTTGATCTCTCATGTCTTTAAAAAAGAATCAAAATAATCTTATGGTAGGACTATTTTGATTCCTCGTTAAGGAGCTGAGTGATCAAAACAGGTTAATTGTGATCATTAGCTTTAAAAACATTAGATTCCAAGTATTTTAAAAACTCTCTCTTTCTCCATCTCCCCCCTCCCTCTTCTCCTTTACTAATACTTCTCTCTTCTCAAACCATGTACTATTTTTAGATGGCAGGACAGGACAAGTCCTCATCCAACTCTGCTAGTCCTGCTGCAAACAAACCAAATTCTTCTTCCATGAGGAGGCCACGCCCTGTAGGTGCATTTTGTGGGAATTACTCCGAAGAATCATTGCCCTCATCAATTATCCATAAAGATGCTGTAGAGAAACATTCGATTGAACCTGCATTCCACCACTGTAAGATTCTTGGGTGCAATGCCTTCCATGTTAATGTCTTGCAATTTGCGGTGTCTTATACTGTCCCCTTTTCAATGTCATAGCTGCTTCAGGGAATTTAGTGGCTAAAGAACTCAGTAATGGAAACTTTGAATATAGCAGGCGTGTCATTGGATCTATGATAAATGGTGCTGCTCGTGCCGGTGCACATAACCCGATAACTTATACATCCTACTAGCTTTTGCAGGTTGATCATTCCCTTAACCAAGGTTAGTCTTTTGTTGTTTTTTGCTCTTTTGTAGGGGTTTCAGTGTTATGTTTATCTATTTGTACTACCACTCTTCAGTTAGGTAGAATGATAATATCCTGAAAAAATCCTGTACCCTTAATTGCTGTAATTATGCCACGACAACATTACGACATCTATGTTGCTCAATTGCAAAGACACAGTTAATTTTCTGCCCTTAATTGGTTGTTATCTTCCTTTAATGGTGTTATTTTTATGTCATGAGTTCTATTCAGTTTGAATTTATATGCAGAATTATCAGATGTTATGTTTCTCCAATTTGATTGCTTAGAATATTGTGTGGAAATTTCTTATTTCACCTTTTTTTTTCTTTAAACCGTTGCATAGGTTTTTCTCTCTTTAAAGGTAACTAGAATGAGATTGATGGGTGTTTATGCTAAGGCTTTTGTGTTCTTCATGTTTGCCATACTAAATGCAAAGGAAAATAGTCAAAACTTTAGCTCTGCTCGTTTTTGCCATACTAGTACGTGAGGGTGATGAGCTAGACGAGTAGGGAGTGGTTGTCAAAACGGGGAGGTATACAGAGTCTATGGGCAAATATAACATTTCAATTTTTACCATATGTTGAAAAGAGTCAAATCTATAATTTAGGGAGGGGTTATACCGTTGTTCAACGTTTCTGCCTGTACTTTGTGGATTTTTTTTTTCTCAAGGCTAAATGTTTGCTTCTTCTAGATTGTTGCAATTGGGTGTAGGTATATAGATTTTAAGGGCAAATATATATCATTTGTTTTCTTCGTTAAGGTGGAAGGAAAAGTGTAACTGTTTTAATTTGGTCAAAACTTCTGGAGCCAAATTCATATTTAATTAGCACATGGGGTTATCTCATTGGCCATGATGCGTCTGCAGCTTTTGTAGAATCTTCTTTTTTTTTTGGGCAAATGCCCATGTATTAAAAACTAAAATCAATTATTACAAGTAAAAGTGTAAAAGATCTAAAAGAAGAAGCAACAACAAGTAAGAAAGAAACCCCCCAGTCTAAAATGAAAAGCAAAATGGGGAAGGGGTTCGAAAGGGGACTCAGTACACTAGGTTAACAACAAACATCAAAACTGATCAGAAAATTGGCGGAGGCAGCAAAGCAATCGATGAAGTCTCTAGGTTGCCACAGGCCTGCCAAGGCAAAACCGGTTGGTGCAGGGCTATCACAAAGGGGCTGCAGGCAACCAAAAGCATAAAAACCAGCCAGCAGGAGGTCGTCCAAACAATAAAATTGTATTAAAACTGCAAAAACCAGAAATAGATTTTAAATAATCCCAACAAATTTATCCTTTAGTTTATCATAATTTTTCCATCTCCTCACTTTAAATCTGACGGCCACTTTAATAACTTGCGTGTCGGAGAACATATTGACCAATGTATTGGAGAAACGCTGATTGTTTTCTTCTCTCCAAAGATTTTAAGTTGTCCAGTTCATTAAAAAGAAACAAAAAGTTTTTCCACAAAGTATTGAGCTGAGGCATGTTATCTAGAAAATCATAAGCTCTTACAATAGGTTCGACTTGAGAAAGGTGTCAAAAATAAGAAGCAGGTCAGTCAACACAAGGAAGGAGAAATCGCATTTGAAGAATAAGTAGTGGTGAGATTCCTGAGAACCATCACAGAAGGAGCATGCAGGGTTAACCGAAATGCCTCTCATAATGAGGAGATCAGCACATTTAAGTTTCTCGAGAATTGCCATCCATGCATAGCAGGCTAACCTGAGAGAGAATATATTATGCCAAATGAATTTATACCAGGAACTTTTATCCAAATGAGAGAAGAAATAGTCAGAGAACTACTTAAAAGAAGGTTGGTTAGAGCCGTACAAGGACAAAGCTGGTTGCTCCAAAATACACCCCAAGGATAGCCAAACAAATGCTAGCAGGAAAATTATTAGGGAGAGAGTATTGACCGTTGTAAATAAAATCACCCACAGATTTATGAGAGATTTCTGAGCAGGTAATAATATCATATAATGAGTATCCATTGCACCCAGGGATCCCAAAGCATAGAGAATTTACAGAGAGGAGCCACCGAGAAATTAACAGAAGGTTTAATTTTTTGTGCTATAGAACACATCGACTTCCAGGTTTTGGAGGCATAGGGGGGCGGTGGTTTCCAAGGGGACTCATATTTAGCTCTTACCCAAGAGCTAAAATTTAGCTCTTACCCAAGAGCTAAAAAGGAATTGTGATTGTATATGCGCCAAATAAACGAGCGAGACTCCAAAATACAGAGAATTGAGAGAGTGTGCCTAAACCACCATTACATTTAGGCATAACAGTAGAGTTCCAAGCTATTAAGTGAAGCTTCTTTTCCTTGATGTTCCCATGATAAATGAATTTGGAACACAACCTCGAAATAAAAGCACGACAAGCTTTAGGGATAATAGAGCCCCTAATTCAATAAGCAATAATATTAGTAATTGTGAACTTCAAATATTGAACTCGACATGCAAAAGAGAGAAATTTGAAAAGGGAGGCCTAGGTATGTTAGGAAGACTCCATATGATGAATCCCAAGCCCAACAGCAAGAAGAATGTTATCGGTGGAACATCTATTAGAGGTGAACTCAGCTTGACTTTCATGGATAATATGAGGCAAAACAGATTTTAACATGTTAGCAAGCAATTTGACGACAATCTTGTAAAAGACATTGCATAAGGAAATTGGTCTGAAATCAACAATATTCAAGGCATGAGAGCTCTTAGGAATCAAAGTGATGATAGTAGAGCTTTTGCTCCTCTAGGAAGATAATCGATAAAGAAGAAGCTCTTGACAGCATTACAAACTTGCAACCCAATGAGATGCCAGGTTTGCTTATAAAATTCAAATGAGAAATCATCTGGGCTAGGCGTCGAAGAAGCCTTACCAACAAAAGAATACCTTTAATTTCATCATTAGAAATTGGGGCTAACAGAGAGCTGTAGAGAGTTGATTGAACCAAATTTCCAACAGGAAGAGATAATTCCTACCTAAGGGTAGGGTCAGGGGAGTTGAAGATCTCCTTAAAGTGAGTGATAATAGCCGAGGCAACATCCAAGGGAGAAGACAAGTGGTCGTGTGGGGTAGTGATTTCTTTTATGGTATTCCTATTCTACATGGCCCTAATTTTAGCATAAAGAAATCCCATGTCATCTTTCCCTTGAGTGAGCCAGCGGGCCCTAGCCCTTTGGGAGATCCAAGAGGACCAGGCCGTTTGCAAAGAGGCCAACAAGCCATTAACATTCTTAAGAGAGGTATTTAAATCAAGATCAAGAGGTTGATTTTGAAGCTCCATAAGGTATCTGTGTTGCAGGCTCTTCAGCTCAAGGATTGAGATTGAGAGATAGTCGGAAGAAGCTCAATTCATGCCTTTGAGGGATCTTTTAAGGTTTTTCAGGCAGGTGTAGAAAGCTGGAATGGGACTACCACAAGTAGTGCTATTGAAGGCATTGAAGACAATATCCCAAAAACCATTCATATGAACCCAGAAGTTCTTGAACATGAATCTAGCAGAAGGGCTGTTATGAAAATAAGGGGGAGTGATCCGCGCCAGAAAGGGAGTCCACTTTATAAAAAATTGATCGATAACAATCCAACAAAGTTGAATTAACCAGCATCCGGTTCAATTTGATGTGGATAGGGAGATCCACCCTTTGATTGAACCATGTGTAAAAAAGTCCCACTTATGCTAGATTCTGAACACCACAGTAAAAAATGATCTTATTGAGTTCTTCCAATATGCTAGAATGAATAGGTTTCCCTCCCGTTTTCTCGAAATCGAATCTACATCAGTTAAAATCCCCAAGAATAATCAATTTGTGATTAGAAGCAGGGATCGGGTCCCTCAATTACCAAAGAACCCTCCTTTCATCAGCATTGTTGGCACTTGGCAGCATAAACAACAGAGAGAAGAATTGGGGGAGAGGAACCAGTCAAAAAATGCCATGAATGATTTGTGAGGAAGAGAAAGTGGGAGAGAAAGAGACATGTGAAGAATCCCATTTTAGCCAAATTCTACCATGAGTAGAAAAACTAAAATTGTTGTAGTTATCTTCGTTATCAAACACTAAATGAGAATTAACAAACTATGGGTCTAAAATAGCTTATTGATGAACTTTAGCTTCAAGGATGCAAAGAAGCTTTAAATTAAAAGACTTGACTAGATTTTTGCAAATACGAACCTTATCGGGGTTGTTAAACCCCCCTCACGTTGCAGCTAGCAAAGGGAGGAGAAGACATTAAGTGTTTTCTGTTTGGTGGATGAGGGATCTCCCTCAAATTGGCTAGCTTATTCAGAAGGAGTAGAAGTATTGTCACTAATGGGTTTGTCAGTAACTCATTGAATCTGAATCTCCTCCGGGAGGGGGAAGAATCCTTGGAAATTTGGACGAAGGCCTGGGCAAAGGTAAGATGGGTCCTTTTGGCAGTAAGAGAGTCAACCGTTAAAGGAATCCCGATGTAACTGGCAATCTGAGAGATGTCGGTCGGTGTCCATAATGCAAGAGGCAAGTTTATGATTTTAACCCAGAGGAGGATGGAGGCGATCACCTTTGAAGGATGAAAGGTTTTCCCAGAAGGAACCAGGGGCCACTCGTCCAGACCATTTCCAAACACTATGAGGTAAACTTCAACAAGAAAAAACCATCTGTAAGAGAAAGGAGAGAGATCGAACCTTTCAGGATCCAGAGCTTCTTCATAGCGGCAAGCAGCTGCTCATAGTAAGGTCGTTGATCAATGGAGTAACCCACAAGAAAAAGGGCCCAAAGAGCGGAGCCCTCAGTTATGTCATCTCCCGAAAAAGAGAGCTTTTGGCTAGGAGAGACAAATGACACAGAGAAATCTTGAGGTTTTGGAGGGGCTGATAGATTATCTGCATAGGAGGCAGGTTTAGGAGGAGGAGGGTTTAAGAGGGAAGGGTTAGAGAGGGGAAGAACCCTCCCTGATGGACATCATGAAGTGGAACACCATGGCAGGAAGGAGCCCTAGAATCGCCTACCGTAACAGCTCTCCGACATCTTTAAAGTCCTCTTCTATGTATCCTTGAGGACCTGTAAGCTTGAAACTTGAGAGTACATCTTCTTTCACAAGTTGAAGATTTGTTATTTCTACATTGGAGTTGGAGCCAGGTGTTATTAAAACAAGCGCAATTGGTTTATTATAAATCTCCTATTTATTTATTTATTCATGTGACAAAAAAATGAACTTGTATGGGAGTC